TTTTCTACAAATTTTTTGGTATTTTTCTGCACAATTTTTGCATTTCAGGCATATAAGTCAACTCGACCCGTTTTTAACACGTGGGTAGCCTTGGTAGAAATTATTCTCTCAAAAATGTTATTTTTGGGTATTCATGTTGTTGGTCGACTCATTTCTATCACGTGGTGGCCTTGAGAGATGATTCTCTCCATAGATCAATCAATACATGGGTTCAAGATACTAATCACCACAAGACAGAAAGATCTATATATGCGGTGTTATGGGCAATACCGAAGATCGATCAACCCAAAATCTTTACGTAAAAGTACGGACATGCCCAATGCAAGTTTCTGAATTCTACTGCATATCTATAAACATTCAAAATGTAAAAAACCCCACTCTATACACTAATGCCCGCCTGTGAATTGGCATCAATTCCGAGTTGGCAACCATCCAACTATACTTTGGGCCTAAAAATTCTGACCCTAGGTTGAACCGTCATTCTCCTAAATCTTTACCCTTGGTGTCTCGATAGAAGCAAAAAGAGTGGGGACAATTGACCAGTTGGGCTAGCATGCCAAAGGGGCATATAAGGGCATGAAGAGGTCATAGAAGAGGGTTGGCATGCCAAAGAGGCAAAAAAGAGACAAGTGATTAGATGAGTTTCACTTCTACAAGTAGACCAAACACTAAAAGTGGAATTGTCATCAACATGTGGAATCCTTCAAGAAAAAGAAATAAGGTAATTTCGAAACTTAGTCATAGAGACCAACATGTTAGTCACTTTTGCCTCTTAGTGTCAGACATGAAGTCGATAAATAATTAGGGAGACAAATCGAAGCCCTTTAATTAGATCAATGATGTGAATATCCCTTTGAAGAATTCAATGACTATTTAAAAGACAATGGGATTATATTACAATTGTTTCCTTTTGTACATTACAATTAAACAATGTATCAAAGAGAAGAAATTTGACCTTATGAGATATGGTCCAATCACTTCTTGTTCACTTAGAATTATCCATATCCATTTGGGGACACACATTAGATATTACAATCCACGTGCTAAACTGGGTTCAAACTAAGTTAGCTCTTAAGATTTTATATAAGCTTTGGACTGGCAAGAAACCAAGTGTCAAACACTTTAAGGTATGGAATTTCCCAACACATGTCAAAATGACAACTGTAGACAAAATGGAATCCAAAACCAATCGTTGCATACTTATTGGCTACCCTAAGGACTCAATTGGGCATTTAGCCAAATGAATTAAAGGTATTTGTTATTCGAAGTGTCAACTTCTCAAAAGAGAACTACATCCTAAGCAATCATCATCAAAAAATTATTCTTGATTGAAGATGGCTCATGAGTAGTAGGAGATAGCCTACAAGTTTTAAATACCAATACCTAGCTTAGAAGATCTACATGGGTGCCTAGACCTCATGTTCATTTCAATTATGATCAAGAAAGTTAGTTGATAAAAACCGTGGATAATAAGGAAGATCTACTGACTTATATGAAATTATGTTAGACATAGATTTTTTGAAGTGGGTAGATGCCATGAAAACCAAGATGAACTTAATGAACACAAACTAAGTCTGAACTCTTTTAGACCCGTCTCTTGGGGTAAAAACAACTGGTTGTAAGTGGATCTACAAGAGGAAGAAGGGCCATGGTGGAAAAGTTGAAACCTATAAAGATTAACTTATGAAAAATTTTTATACTCAAAAAAAATGTATTGACTATGAGGAAACCTTCTCTCCCTTGACCGCTCCTACCTATCAGTCACTTTCGCTTGCCCACTCTGGTTGGTGAATAGAGATGGAACAAGCGAAAGTGTCGAAGATTCAACATAGGGACAATGACCAAAAACCATAACCCAAATCAATATATATTTCTCAAGTTCTAGTCTAGGTTGCTTACTTATAGTTTTCAATATTAGACGAGGAGAATGTCTACTTTTGGGGAGTCCAAATCAGCTGGAATACTGTTTTTTGTTTTGTTTCGAGCATGGTTTTCAAAACCGGACCGGATCAGACGGTCAGACTAGAAAAATGGGAACCGGTCAGGTGACTGGTTCTATTTTACCCTAGAACCGTTGATTTGGTCAACAAACCGCTGACTTGGGTGTTCGAACTGTTTGAATTGTCCAACGGTTTTGACTTTTTTTATTTTTTTTGTCAAAACGGGCTGTCTATTTGGTTCAAACGGTTGAACAATTTGACCCGGTAACCAGACCCTGACCAGTTCATTGTTTGGTCCAGTTTTAAAAACCTTGGTTTGGAGTGATCATTTAAATTTTTATAATTCCCATTAAGACAAGAGGTGGATCAAGTTAAAACAAATTTGTATTTTTAATTAGGGTTAATTACTAAAACCTCCCTCAATTTTTTAACATTGCTTGTTAATAGTAGTCAACTCTTTCTCAAACCTTTGACGCCATTATCATTAAAGCATTGGCAGAAATTAGTGATGGCATCAACTAAACATTTTCTAAATGCCAAAATTTCCGAAGATGGGATTTTGTATCGAACAAAATACCTTTGAATGAATCAACTCTTTGGGTCACAAGAATAGTGGTCAGGAATTGAAATTGGAATGGGTTATTTTGATTCCAACTGTTTGGTTGGACGGAATTGAAATTCCATTCCCATTCCTATTGATTTCAATTTTCATTTGGTTGGACTATTCCAGTTCTCCCATTTGAGAGAATGGCCATTCTCTGCTCTTCCCTTGGGGATGAAATCCCTTTTATGTTAATTCCAATTCTCATTCCCATTTCTATCTGAATCATATAAATTATAAAAATAGATTATTCCAATTTTGATTCCAATTTTAAATGCAAAACAAACTGACCCTAAAAATTGAGAACGCATACACCTCTTTCCACCTATTATTTGGTCCAATGGTGGGCGTCTTTTAAAATTTAATAAACTATAAATAGCTAATGTACAAATCAATAGTTTGAGAGTTGGATCACTCCTCAATTTGGCTGTTGAATACTTGAATTGAATCTTATTGTCAATCGTCGCTTTGGCCGAGTGGTTAAGGCGTGTGCCTGCTAAGTACATGGGGTTTCCCCGCGAGAGTTCGAATCTCTCAGGCGACGTTCTTTTTCTTTTCTAGTCAAAGAAAAAAATACAATCAAACCGACAAACCGTTAATTAAAATACCAGAGGAGAATGTGAATCGGACCAGTAAAGAGTGAACAATTCAAATGATGAAATATGTAAATTGTCAGGACTATGTTTTCAAATCTTTGTTGACGCAGGTGGTTGAACCATTTGAATCATGGTTTTGAAAATCGGACCGGACAGTTGATTCGGGAATGGCAATTGGTTCTATCTCTCTCTAACCATTCCTGGCCAAAAATCGTTGACTTGGTCAGTGACCCACTGATCCGGTGGTTGGTTTATTGATCCAAATAACAGTTTTGACTGTTTTTTATTTTATTTATTTTTTATTTTTTATTTTTTTAAATCAGAATGAACCGTCCATTTGAACAAGATGATTGGACTGTTTGACTTGGGAACTAGTGGCCAAAACAGCTTCGCATTTGATCCGATTTTTAAAACCTTGATTTGAACTGCCAATGAGTGCAAATTTTGGTTCATTAGGCTACATAATAGGGGTGGAAAAACTTTAGCTGTTGGGGGCCAACAGTCTATATTGTTGAGAGAATTTCTGTAAATGCCATGTTACCATGAGAATGGGTAAATTAGTATTTATATATTAATTTATTTTAACTAAAAACCAAAGCATGGGCATGAATAGGTGACTGCCCAGAACGTACCCACCACAGAAACTGTCTCAACAGCCTATGCTGTTGGGCCCCAACAGTCAAAGTTAACCGCAATGGGGTTATCCCATCTCCTGGAGCTCCTTTAATTGGTTTCAATATTAATTTTTTTTATCTAAAAATAATTAAAAAACCCAAAAATAATGAATGCAAAGGTTGTACTTAGTTAATTTGGTTTAATCTAGGGGATGTTTGGAACCGTGGCTGTTTTTCAAAAAACGATGCCACGTTGGATCAATATAGGCGTTTCAACAAACGCCCATATTGTTTGGTTCAGCTGATTATTAAAAAATCAGGCATGCCTCGAAAATCAGGACCCCATTGACGCATGAAATGCCAAATTCGGTGAACTGTTTCCCCCAACGGTTGACTGATGTGTATCCTATGTGGTGCTTACCTGTCAGCACATACATGAAAAGCAGTGATGAAAATCACCTTATCAAACAGCATAGTATTGTTGCTCACTACCTACATGGCAGAAGCGTTTTTTTGTGAAAAACGGGTCTTAAAAGCATGGACATTTTTTCTTGAAAATTGATCCCAAAAAGCGCCCATACTTCCAAACACCATGCTAATTACAAATGTCACATTGTTATTAGGATGCAACTTGGTGGGTTGGGTCATGTTGAGTATCAACCAAATACCAACCCAACCTTATATTATTTGACAATATTAAATATTTTAAATAATTAAGTAATATTTGCAAAAAATTATAACATTTAATCATTAACAAAGTAAAATAAATAAAATAGAGCACCAACGGATAATATGAAAAAATAATTATTTTATTATTTCTGGTGGAGAGCTCCAAATCCAAAGGAAGGGAAAAGGGTTTTGTTAACTAAAAATACTAGCTTGTTTAACTCCATTATCATCTTAGGGAAATTTCACCAAGAGACTCAAAATGGAGAACCCTCCTGATTTATACGCCTTGGTATGATTGGAGTACCAGTTGCCATTTTAATAGTGGTATTCCAGCTGATCCGGATTCCCCAAAATGGAGAACCCTTCTATAAATTCATGTTCTCAGTGATGAATAAGCAACCCAGACCAGACATAATTGAGAGATAGTGATCTGGGTTCTGGTTTCTGGTCCCTGTCCCTGCTGCTTTGAATTTTCGACGCTTTCGCTTGCTCCATCTCTATTGACCCACAAGAGCGGGCAAGCGAAAGCGATAGATAGAAGGTTCTCTTCGTTGGTGTAAGTTTTCTACAGGAAACGATGATGGCGCTCCGCGTTCTGGCATTGTTTCTTATTGTATGTTTGGTGGGTCTTCATCTACCTTTGGGGGAAGCAGTTTGGTTGAATCTTCGTCGTTCAACAACTAGGTGCGTTTCAGAAGTAATCCAAACGAACATCGACGTCTCGATCAATTACAATGTCATCGGCAACAACCAATCCCACGATCTCCCCGACATCAATGCCAAGGTAAAATTTTCTACCCCAAATTCCCTGATGCATTGATGATTTCTATTGGAATATGAATGATTGATGATTGATAAGAAGCTAAGTACACTCTTTTCAGGTGACATCTCCATATGGACAAATCATCTATAAAGATGAAAATGCAACTGAAGGCCGGTTTGAATTCAGAACAACCGCTGTTGGGAAGTACTTGGTTTGTTTTTGGTTGTCTAACTATCATGAAGAGGGTGGAGCAAGCATTAACCTTGATTGGAAGATCGGAATTGCTGCAAGGGACTGGGATTCTGTTGCAAGAAAAGAAAAGCTCAAGGTCTGCATATATATATTTCTTCCTTTCTCTTTACCTCCTTCGCTCAGCTAGTGCTTCGATTGATGCATTTATATATATATACATCCCGTGTCATATAGGGTGTTGAGCTAGAGCTGAAGAAACACGAAGCAATAGTGGAGTCCATTCATGAAAAGATGCTCCATCTCAAAAGCAGGTACGTAGTGTTTGTTCTATTATGGTTCAATGAATCCAGATTTGGTTGTCATTCTGTTAGTCTGCAGGTAGAATAAGATTTGATTAATTTATTATTGGTTGTTCATCAAAAGGGAAGCGGAAATGAGGATGGTAAGTGAGAAAACCAATGACAGAGTAGAAATGTTCAGTATCATGTCCGTGGGGATCTGCGTAGTGGTTTCAGTTTTGCAGCTTTGGTATTTGAAACGCTACTTCCAAAAGAAGAGGATTATTATGTAGACATGATGGGTTGGCTAGTCTCCAGATGCTGAACCTACAACAGCTTTTTTCTAACCTATATAGGGCAAAGCTTCTGGTCCATTGGTATATATATAATACATGTACATTGGTGTATATATAATACATGTACATTGGTGTATATATAATACATGTACATTATTATCTTTTTTCAGTTCTACAAACTTGACATCTACCAAAACATGTATACATATTATTCCTTTTTATGACATATTTTGTATAATTTCTTTCTGTTAAAGCATCAACGAATTAATATGTTGAATTATTCTTAATTTTTTTAACCTCCAGGACTGTACATTCCACTACACATCTACATTGTATATGTTTTAACGGCTCTAATATAAATCTGCTAATTTCAAACCATGTTTGGTTCAACTCTCATTCATTACTCTTATTATTGTAGAATGGATATGAATGAATAGAAATGAGAGGAATGAGAAAAATGAGAAAATGTTGCTATGAACTAAATGCTTAAGTGGACCGTGTCATTTGCGGACCAGCACAGCTTAGTATGATATAAGCTGTGTCAAGCATGGCTCGGTTACTATAGCAATCGGGTCATGTTGCAGCCCGACTCACACCCCCTAGGCCATGCTGGGCTTTGATTTCGAGGTTCCACAATCCGGCGCGACATGGCACAACAGTGGGCCATGTTCATTGCATGGCCCATGACGCTATTCTTTGTACAAAATCCAGTGAGTAGTTTTTAAATGAAATTTTAATGGATCCTAAAATTACCAAATTATTTTTAAAAATAATATATTCTCATTAATTTTTATTATTTTTAAATGGAATGTAAAAAAGATCAAGATTAACGAAATTTGATAATGAATTTTAAATTGTTAAAAAAATAATTTTCAAACCATTTTCTTTTTTTCATTGACCCCAAACATTGTCTTGGTGGAGGAGAAGCCATCTTGGGATGTAAAATTCTTGCTCCTCAGAAAATATATATTCAAAATGATTTTCATGTCATAAAATGTAGGAAAGAAAGAAGTTACAACATCAACGATTACGGGTGATCATTTTCATCCCAGCCCAGCCAGGTCCGGAAATTCAAGACTAAGGCCTGGATTTTGTGTTCAAGCCTGCAAATTTCCAGGCTGAACCTAGGCTCAGTACTTCATCAAGCCCGTCCGAGCCTCCATATATTAATATATTAATATTTATATGTTATATCGTATGTTTTAAATATAAATATTATAATATGTCATGTACAATTCATATGTTATATAGCATATTCTATTATATAATGTATAAAATAATTTTTTACACATATTACATGCATATATTATGAAGTAATATATATTTAATGTATTTATAATAAAAGTTATAAGTCCATCCTGGAACCCAGGCCTGGGCCGTCCCCAAGATATAACCCATATCACAGGTGAAAAGCTCCGCCCGGCCCATTATCACCCCTCTTTAACAACTTCCTTCTATATAATTTCCCAACATTAACTAAAAAAGAAAAACTAATAAAACCATCAAGACCAACAGAACCACCCCGGTTAAGTTTAAACATCACCTCCTTTACCTAATTACCTCCCAATCTATCCGTCACCATTAAGATCTTCTATATATATAGAGAGAGAACCTTCTCAAAAAAAAAAAAAAAAAAAAAAAAAAGAAAAGAAAAGAAAGAAAGAAAGAAACTACTACAGTTATAATATGCTCATATTGATCAATCCAATGCCCATTCTCCAACTTTACCCTCTTCAACTTATTTTTCTTTCTATTTAGCTAGCTAGAATGAAACATGAAAAAGTCTGGAATTTTTATCTTCCTCTTTCATCCAGTTTATCTTCCTCTTCCATAAGATTGCATTTGGAATGTCCACTGCAATTCTCACCCCATTCCCTTTCTTTTATCAGAACATCATCTTCAGCTAATCCAATTCTTTTGGTAGATATAATCAAAGACTTACAAGTTCCAGCTCTTTTAACGCCCCTCTGACCCTTTTATCTTAAGAAAAAACAGAAAAATAACCGAATATAGGTTGATTCTAAATTTCAGTAACCAGCCACTTAAAAAGCAAAATTGGATGAGCTGAAGGCTTTTAGCTGTGTGTAGCAGGCTGTGGAACCAATGATAATACCCCCATGCCAGTAATAAAATACATGGAACCCGCACTGAGAAGTTGAATGGCTGTCGATCCCATGTATTTTATAACTGGTGCGGAGCCCGCACTAAACATCATTTATCATGGAAATCTGTTTAAAATGAAAGGGCTTCAAAATATTAGGTTTATTATTTTCTATTTCCTTTTATTAATTTGAGTTTTAAAGTAAAGATAAATGTATTTTATTTTTATTTTTAATAATTTTATAAAAAATAAAGTTTTACTATTTTTGTTATATATATATTATTTCTACTTTTAATATTATTCTTATTGTTTTTAATTGAAATTTTAGTTTTCATTAATATTAATTTCTAATTGGAGTTTTATTGGATTTTATTTTTATTTATGAATTACTAATTTTTTAATTATAATTTACTATTTTTATTTTTAAATGGACTAATAAATTTTTATTAATTTATGTTTTATTCTTAGATGTTAATTATTTATTTTCTATTAATTATTGTTGGATAAAATTTGTTTTAGGCATAAATAATGTTTCTTATTAATTGTACTAAAGTAGAGCTTGCCACGTCAGCAGCCCTTAACTCCTTGCTTGGCTACCCAAACCAAGCCATTCTAGAGGGGGTGCAAGATCCCCTCTAGAAGTCTATGGAGTTGCCACCAATCATGGCAATCTCTCCTTCTTTTTGCCCAATTAAATTAGGAAGAAAACTCATTAACTTTATTTTAGGAAGAAAACTCATTAACTTAGGAAATCTTTTCCTCTCCCACCTAAAATTCCTCCTAAAACAACTCTTAATCTATATTACATGTCCAATAAACCAACTAAAAACAAAAAAAAATAGTTAAATTGATTTGTGAAATATTTTGATATTTTCAATAATTATTGATATTATCAAATACTATTCAGTAAATATCAACACCTAAACTATACTTTTTCATAATTTTGGTAAAATGGAAAATTTAATTACTAAAAATTACATGCTGAAAATTACTGATTTTGGAAATTTAATTTCAGAAATTTTTGAAAATTAATTATTGAAATTGATAATTAATTAATAAAAAATTATTAATTAAAAATTGTTGGTAATTTTTCATTGAAAATTTTATTTCAATAAATATAAATTTATCTTTTACATTTTCAGTAATTTTTGACAATCTATTAATATTTAAAGATATTATCAGATAATAATTAAAAGTTTTAGTAATTTATTTTTTGTGGAAAACTAATTCCAATAAATATAAATCTAATTTTTTAGTAAATTACTAGTAATTATTTCTATATTTGTTATATATTAGTAAATTATTAGTAATTATTGAAAATTACCAATAATATTTCTCTTACCAACTTAGCCTTAACCTAAGCTTTAACCTAACATCTTGGGTTGGGTTTAAGATTGGATGTGTTGAGCTTTGCGGCCCAATTTTAGGTAGAATATATTTGATAATATGTAGATATGTATATCACAAAATGTTGGACGGGCTCAAATTGATCAAATCAAGCTTGGGCTACCTGTGCCCTCAACCCAAGCTCAACCTATATTTAGGTTAGACGTCAGTTTTTTGGCCTAAGTCCAGCTTGAAGTTTGAAAACTCAAGCCCAACCTATGCAAAATCTTTGGTTGAGTTGGGTTGGGTGCACGAGTTCCCACTAGTATATATTAAAAGAAGGAAATCTAGGAATTTTCTCATTTTTTCTCATTTTTTGATTTTCCATGTCATTTTTGGAACAACCAATGAGATACTCTCATTTTCCCATAAAAATCTTTTAGAGTCTCTCTCTCTCCCCCCCACACACATTCCAAATAACTTAAATAATCTCTTCTAAAATTTCTCCTAAACTACTTCCCCTACCTAAATAATCCCCTCTCTAACATCCAATAGGTAAAGGAGGGATTTGCTTTTCTAAGGTCTAGCCAAGTGGTACCACTATCCCCCACTTTCTCCTAAGTTATCTCTAATTTAGTATGAAGTTTCTCCCCTAAATTATCTCTAATTTCTATTTATCCTCTTCATTTTAACCTTCATTGCTCTCTCATTTTGACATCTCAGCATGCCTAGCCCATCCCTCTTTCCTTTATGTTTATCCCTTTGGATATCCCTTCCCAAAACTATTTCTAAAATCTTTCTCTACAAAAATATAATCTAATCTAGCCAAGTGGCACCACTATCCCCCACTTTCTCCTAAATTATCTATAATTCCAAATTATCTCCTAAATTATTTCTAATTCCAATTTATCCTACCCCACTTTTCATCTATATCTATCAAAAGAAAAAGTTTGAATTAAAAAGTTTAAGAATTATTTAAATATTATCATGAAATTATGTAATAACTTTAAAATATTTATAAAAAACCCAAAAATTATCATAGATTTAATAATATTCATATTATTAATAATTTTTATTACTTTTATGAAATTCATAACAAAATTATGTATTAACAATATAAATTATAATTTTATCAATTGTTCAACTTAAATATTATTCAAATAATAAAATTAAAAAATATTATTTAAAAATTTAAATAACTAAATATTATAAATAACAAAATATAAAAATAGTGAAATATTAAATAACAAAATATTTAATATCATGTAACAACTTTAAAACATATAAAAACTAGATGATGAAAAATTTTAAATATTTTACATTTTATTTAAATATTTAACATAACTAAATTTTAAATTGTTAAAATAACAAAATTATGTAATAGACTTAAAAATTTTATTAAAAGTAGAAAACAATTATAATAGATTTCATAATATTTGAATTAATAATAATTTATATTTTACAAAATTAATAATGAAATTATGTAATAATAGTATCAATTATGATTTTATGGATTATGAAATTCAATAACTAAGTGATATTGAAATAAATAAATAATGATATTAATTAA